CCCCCCCCCCCCCCCCGCGGCTGAACCTCGATTTAACATACATACATTATGCGGATGGTTATGTGGGAAATTGCCTCTTGTCCCTATTCCCCCCCTTCTTTCAAGCGTGTGTGTGTGTGTGTGTGTGTGTATATCTACAAGGCACGACTAGCAAGATATATAAATAGCTGTAAACCAGCCACAGCTATAGACGTAGTCAAACATGCACAAGCACAAGCACAAGCACGAAGGGTGGAAGTAAACAACGTATGTAGGTACATTGGATATATGTAGACGTATATTCATGACAACGGTACCCCCCCAAAAAAAAGAAAAACACAGAATATTAAACTGAGAATTTTATCCATCACGCGTACTAACCTACACATACACATACACATACACATAAACATACGCTACCCATCTATATTCTCTCTCTCTATATGCAGCCTGCTATACTGCATCTAGAAACCAAATAAACTCTCTCTCTCTCTCTCTCTCTCTCTCTCTCTCTCTCTCAAACACACACACACAGCCTCGCAGTCGCAGTCGCAGTCGCACAGTCCCAATCTCAGAAACAAGAGGAGGATGGACGAGAAAAAAAAAAGACAGAACAGAAGACCGAAGAGAAGAATCGATACCAAAAGAAAATCGGATGCTTTGATCGTAGTAGGATCCGGGGGGGAGGGGTATCGAGATGAGAGGGAGGGGGGGTAAAGAAGGAAAAAAAAGAGACGCCTTGTCTGCCCACAGTATACTTACAGTACCACCACCTTTGCATGCATCAGGATCCGCAAAACCGGAACGCCCCATAAACACCGGGGGGGGAGAGAGAAAAACACACACACACACACACACATATATGCCCACGACTAATGCATGCCAAACAAAAACTTGAGTTCCCTCAAATTCAAACGCGTCAAATTCTTCGACTCATTTTCATCCAGCGCAGCACCGATGATTTCCCGTTTAGAATCCTGCAAACTCGTAATGCGATCTTCGACCGTCTCGGGCACGAGCACGCGATGGACATGGACGTGGCGGGTTTGCGGCATGCGGTGCGCGCGGTCGACAGCCTGGTCTTCGATGAAGGGGTTCCAGAAGGGGTCGAGGATGATGACTTGGGATGCTTTCCAGAGGTTGAGGCCTGCGTTGCCGGCTTTGAGGGACACGAGGAGTACGTTTTCCGTGGGGTCGTCCATGAAGGCGCTGACGGCGTCGGCGCGCTGGTCCATCTTCATGCTGCCGTCGTAGCGCTGGTAGCGGATGTGCTCGCGGTTCAGAGGCACTTCGATGAGGTCGAGGAGTGAAGTGAATTGGGAAAAGACAAGAGTCTTTTCGGTTGGGTCGTTGGTGCGGATGTCCTGGAGGAGCTGGATGGTTCGGTCAATCTTGGCTGAGGGAACATAGGTCTTGTCTAGATGGCGGAGATAGCGCTTTTTGGCGGTTTTGTTGCGGAGCGACTCTTTCTTCAGCTGGGCAAGAGTCACACTCGGCTTGGCACGCGCTTTGCCCTTGCCCTTGCCCTTCCTCTTGCCTTTGCTCCGCTTCTTCGACTTTATAGCTTTAGGCTTAGCTTCAGGCGGAGAGTCGTCGTCATCCTTGTTCTTGGCATTGCCCGGCTCGTACTCATCCTCATCGTCGTCAACAACGAACCCAGCTAGGTTGCCCTTTTCATCGACATCGTCATCGTCATCCTCGGCATCAGACTCGTCTGTAGCATCCTCTTCAACCTCGTCCTCCAACTCGGCCGATCCGAGTCGCTCAGGGCAATGGACCTTGCAAAAGTGCTTGTAGTCGGTGATCAACTTGGCCTTCAACTCGCCGCGGCAATGTGGACATCTAGGTATAGTGGTCTCGTCATTGCCATCCTGTGCTGCTGGCATTGCGGGATCAATGAGCTTCTGCACACATTCTCCACAGACCGTGTGGCCACACGGAATAATGATGGTTGGGTTGGGATCGGCCTCGAGACAGATGGGACACTCGAATGAGTCGGGTTCCTTCAGTCGGAGGACCACATCAACGCTGAGCTCCTCTGCACGGGCCAAAAGGTCATCCTCAGCAATGCCGTCGGTTGCTGGTTGGCTGAGGTCTTTGATAAGCTGTGGATGGCAACAGGCCTGACGCAGCCGAAGCAACAGGGTCAAGACGTTTGCGTAGTTGGCTGGAATCTGTTAGCATGTGATCGAAGCCACAGCTGAGCCTGAACCTAGGCGAGCTCACCTGAAACAGCATTCTTCTCAATATACTTGTTCATCTGAATCTGCGACTTGGTCTCCAAAGCACGGTACAATCCAAACTCGTCGTCGCTAAACTCGACATTGTCCACGGCGGTATGCTTGGGTGGGATCTTGGAGATTGGTTGACCGTCCACTTTGGAGTCCTTTTGCCGCCGCAGCATGATAGACCTCAGCAGAATACGAATACGGTTCATTGCGCGACCCTTTGCAAAGCGATTGGCATTCTTGACGGGCTACAACATGTTAGTCTGCGCCAGAACTCTAACAGATTCGTCATTCGCTTACCCTAGCAATCTCCATGCTGAACTTTGTCCATGTGCAGTAAGGTTCCACCTTGAGGAATCCAATCAATGGGTATAACTCGTCAATACTATTCATCATGGGCGTTCCAGTCATGCACAAGCGGTGGCGAGCCATGAGATCCGCACAGGCTTTTGATGATTTGGCGTTGCGGTTCTTAATGTTGTGAGCCTCGTCAATAACGACGCGATACCACATGCATTCGGGCCCCAGCAACGCCAGCTTGTCTTTGGGTTTGCGGCTCATGGCAGGGGTGCGCTGCTCTTGCTCGTACAGCATCGACTCTTTCCGAGACTCTTTCTGATTGTACTCAGCGGTAAGGCATCCAAAAGTTGTCAGCACAACGTCAAACTGACGGAGTCGGGCAAAGTCGACATTCTTGCCAGTGCCATGATAGAGATAGACACTAAGCTTGTGATTCGGGTGCACGTGTCGCTCGATTTCCTTCTCCCATTGCCGCATAAGAGCCACAGGCGCAATGATGAGCGTGGTTTTACATGCTGGGTTCTTGGACGGATTTGCGCATAGGAGCGAAAGAGCTTGTATCTGGCCATACCAATTAGAAACCAATCGACCAGTCTAGGTACAGAGCATGTGATTGACGCGTGGCATGCAAAGAGTTTCACTTACCGTCTTGCCCAAGCCCATTTCATCGGCTAGGATACCGCCTTTGGTGGGGCCACGTTCCATTTTAAGGAGCCATGTCAGGCCGATGCGCTGATACTCCTTGAGGGTACAGGTCATGATGGCAGGCGTTGGCTCTCGTTCTTCCGCCTTCTCGCCATCCTCCTTGACATTCTCAAAGAGCTTCTCGATAGCGTCGGCCTCTGCCGCATTCATTGGAAAGCTGCTATAGTCATCGCCATCACTATCGACTGGCGCCCTGTAGGGAGCGGCTATATGGTTGGGAGGAAAACCGTGCTGAAACACATGTGGCTGTTGGTATCCTGGGCCATTGCTAGGTGTGGTCGGCGCAACCATGAACTCTGCAAGGTCTGGTACAGACATGTAATACGGGTTCACAGTAGCCGCCGATATCAAACCGCCATTGCCATATGGTCCCTGGAAGGCATTGTGCAGTTCTGCGAATGGGTCAGAGTATGCCTGATCGTGCGCAGGTAGCGGAGCGGATCGTTGTGGCGTGGGTGGACCAGACTGGGTCAAATCCACAACCTCCAGTTCATCCGTTTGATGCACATGATTTGACGGCCGTCGAGGCAGTGGCTGTGACCAAGGTGTGGGCGAAGAGGTTGGGGTAGCTGGGCTCGGCTGCCTGCTGATGCGCTTGGCTTCAGGAGGGTCGGCTGATCCCAGACTCCGCTTGAGCGTATGAGATGGCAGGGCCGGAGGCGGAGAAGGTCGTTTCTGCGTGCCATTTGATGATGTGTACGGGGCGGGGGTAGGCTCAAAGGCTAGACTCCTCTGCTCTATTTCAAACATTTGATACACGGTATCCAGTACCTGCTGGTAGTATGGCTTCTCCGTGTCATCAACGGTACGAAGAGCCGCCCTGATCAATCCAATCTTCTCCTCGAAGCTTGTAGTGCGGTCATTGACTATATCCATTCTGGCCAAAGCTGGCTACCGTGGCCGGGTGGCGGGGCAATTGATGCGGCTATGAACGTGGCAATGGAGAAGTCCGGGAAGAGGAGGGGGGGGGCGTTGGGTTGTGGGCAGTGCGGTAGAGGCGGATGTTATAGGCAGAGGGCGGGGCAGTTTGCGGAGAAAAAGAAGTGGTGAAGAGTCAGGGCTGGGTCGAGTGGCTTCACCGTGAGGCTCCAAGCGACTGCAATGTCGTTGTGCGGCTGAAGAGTGAAAGGAGCCCTGTGAGGCAATTGCGATGACTGGCGCGACGCGTTGCGCGGTCCTTTGCGGCAAATCTTTGAGTAATCTAAACTGCGACGCCTGGGTTTCGGTCAAACAACAGGCCAGCAAAGAAGCAAAGCAGCAGAGAAACACGAAAAGAAACCAGGCGCGCCTGTCCTACCGTATCGCGGCCATGCACCCGCGCCGTGGGGGGGTTTACGCGAAAGGAGGGTGAGGCAGCGTTTTCGGAGGTGAGCGACGCCCTCAGCGCGTCGGCCATTATCGATAGGCAGCCTCTGGCAGGCCGCGTCTGATGTCATGCTGTGGCTTGGGGTGACATTCTCGAGGGAATGAAGCAGTCCTTCAGGGCGCAAAAGATGCGAATGGGAGAGGCAGCAAGGCACACAGCCAGCCGCCTCTGTACGCCGACATGGCTCTTGCTAATAAGGCTGGCGGCTGGGCAAGTTGCCCTTCTCGCTGCACGCGCCGCCGGTGAAGAACACACGCCCAACCAGGCTTGGCACGACGTCACGCGAAGTCGACCGACTCTGTGCAGAGACGACAGTGAAGACACACGACACCAGCCATTCATACACGAGCAAGAGAATATCATTGTACACTCGACAAGAAACACCAAACCGGCCAGATATGTTCTGAATGTCCCGCCTAGGAAGCGAAGGTATGCCCAAAGCCCACGCTTGACTGGGACCGTGTACTTGAAACCCCCTGAAAGAAACAAGCAACGCCTAGATATGCAACAAGATACCAGTGTAAATGTAGTGTGAAACTGCAAACCCGCACCCGCAAAAGCAAACGCTGACAAACAACCGTTTGGCAAGCCATGACAGGCAGCAAACCTGCCTCCAGCACAGCACAAACGCCACCCTAAAAGCTCCATGGTTACTCTTCAAAACGACCAGGCCGAATGATTCCGGACCCAGCTTTCTCCATCAAATACCTTCGTCTCGACATTCGGGGTATCCGACCAACGTGGCTAGAATGCGCTGCTGCCGAACATGTCGTCATCGTCGTCGTCGATAGTCGTCGATAGTCGTCGAGGTTACTGCTGTAGTTGTTGTAGTTGTTGTTTGGCATGATTCGGTCTGAAAAGACGCGAATGCGTAACTAATCAAGCCTTCTCCTCTTCCTTTAGATCACACAAAAACTCAGCTACTGTGGCTCCGCAGCAACAGCTACAACACACACACATATTAGGGTCAATTTACTCACAAACTAGCGGACAAGGAACGTACTCTCTCGACACTGCCATTATCCGTCTGATCCACCGCTAACAGGTTCGGGCTGTCGGCGCCCCCGCCCCGGTCCGTGAAGCCCCGGGTTTCGAGTTGCGGCCGCTTTTTCGGGCTTGCCGTCGCTGTTGCCGACGATGACGAAGCTGCCGTGTCGGCTTTGTCCTTGGTGTTTCCTGGCAGCTCCAGGTTAGGAATGTGCGATGACGCCGTGTAGCGCGGCTCGCTCGTGTGATCGTAGATTGTACTTCCCACAGTGGCGCAGCGGAGGATCGTCTGAATGAGCTGATTCTGACGAAGAGGCTTGGACAGGTAGTCCTATAGCTCGAGTTAGTACCAAAACACGCCAGGGGAGCGCACAGCCACTTACGTCCATCTGCGCTGCCAGACACTTTTCGCGATCGCCAACCATGGCGTGTGCCGTGAGCGCAATGACTGGGGTAGAGGGGATGCCGTTTTCACGCTCCCATTCACGGATCTTAGCCGTCGCCTCGAAACCACCCTGCTATCGCGTTAGTCATGCTTCATAAACCATGATTCATCAACTCACCATGACCGGCATTTGCACGTCCATGAGCACGCAGTCGTAGCGTTTCTTCTGAATGTGCTCAAAGGCCTCGAGACCGTTATTGGCCACCGTAACCCTGTGGTGGTACTTCTCCAGAATCCTGACGGCAAGCTTCTGGTTGACAGCGTTGTCTTCGGCCAGCAGAATCTGGAATGACTTGGAGTGGTCCGAGACCAGAGGCGCAGCACGACCGTCCAGTGCGGGGATGAGCGCATTGCCCAGGTCAATTGGCAGACAAGGCGTTGTCATGTAGCTCGAGATACCGTTTTCAAGTGCAGACCTAAGGCTGATGCACACGTGCGGCGTAAGCATGACCAGAGGAATGTACTTGAAGCGCTCGGCAATGCGGAGCTCTCGTGCCGTCTTGTCATTGTCCACGATGACGCAGTCGTAGGGCATGTCGGCTCTCTTGGTAGTCTCCGGTACCTCTTCGACAGACTTGACCACCATGGGCACGAGATCAAGCGTCTTGAGGTGCTCGATGATCTGGTCCGAGAAGCCAGTGTTGCCCTGGTCGACAAACAGGACCGTGTGCTGCTTGTACGCGACGAGTTGGGGCTGGATAGCAGTGATTTCCGGCTTGCCAAGACGGACTCTGCATGTAAAGTAGAATACGCTGCCCTTGCCAAAGTCAGACTCTACCCACATGCGACCACCCATAAGAGTAACGAGACGCTTGGAAATGGACAGCCCAAGACCCGTACCGCCAAACTTCCTCGTTGTCGAACCATCTGCTTGCTGGAACGTGTCGAAGATGAGATTGAGCTTGTCGCCACGGATTCCAATTCCAGTGTCGGACACGGCAAACTGGAAGACGTAGTGGTCGGGTCCGCAGTCCTGCTCTGCCGCCATGGATATGGCGACCTTGACCTCTCCATGCTCGGTGAACTTGATGGCGTTGCCGACGAGGTTCAGGATAATCTGTCTCAGCCTGAACGAATCACCGACAACATAGTCGGGCACGGTGTAGGAGACGTCGTAAGCAAGGTTCAGCTTGCGCTCGTTGGCCCTTGACGCTAATGACTTGAGCGCATTGAATATCGTGCCCCGCATGGAAAAGGGAATTTCTTCCATAACCATGCGGTTGGCTTCAATCTTGGAAATATCCAGTATATCGTCAATAATGGTGAGTAGCTGACCAGCCAGGTTGTGCACAATGGTCAGCATCTCTCGTTGGGCATGGGTAAGATCGGTGTCGAGCGTGAGCTGCGTCATTCCTATGATGCCGTTCATAGGCGTTCGGATCTCGTGCGACATGTTGGCCAGGAACTCGGACTTGGTCTTGTTGGCCAGTTCGGCTGCTTCCCTGGCCGCCGTGTTCCTCTGAATACTCTCTCGCAAGCTGGACACCATCTGGTTGATCTTCCTCTTCAGCTCATCCATTTCGCCAGACGCCTCAACGGTGATTTGTGTGAATTTGCCCTCCATGGCGGCGTTGGTGATGTCGCCAAAGGCGCGCACCTGCGATGTCAAGTTTTGAGCCATGGTGTTGACGTCCGTGGTAATCTCTTTCCAGCGTCCGTCAATGTCTCGCACGTCAGCCTGACCGCCCATCTTACCGTCGACGCCCACATCGCGCGCTACGCGCTTCACAGCCAGAGACCATTCGTCCAGTCTCATAACCATGTCGTTGACCGTGTCTTTGAGTAACCGTATTTCACCCTCGGCATCCACGTGCACTCTTCGGCTCATGTCTCCCTTGGCGATGGCCTGCGTGACCTCGGAGATACTGCGCACCTGTAATGTGAGATTCTGGGCCATGGTGTTGACGTTGTTGGTGAGGTCCTTCCATTTGCCTTCGACGTTGTCGACTTGGGCCTGGCCGCCCAGGATGCCGTCTGTTCCGACCTCGCGAGCGACCTTGCTCACTTCTTGCGCAAACGTGTTCAGCCGGTCCACCATGGTGTTGATGGTGATCTTCAGCGACAGAATCTCGCCCTGGACCTCGGCCTTGACTTTTCTGCTCAGGTCTCCTCGCGCGACAGCCGTCGTGACCTCTGCGATTTCTCGTACTTGCGTGGTGAGGTTCATGGCCATGCCGTTGACGTTTTCGGTGAGGTCCTTCCAGGTACCCTCGACGCCGTGCACAGTGGCCTGGCCACCAAGGCGACCTTCTGATCCGACCTCCCTTGCTATCTTTGTGACCTCATGTGCAAACTGCTGCAGTTGGTCCACCATGCGGTTGATTGTGTTTTTCAGTTCGAGAATCTCACCCTTGCATTGGGCCTCAACCTTGCGGGTGAGATTACCTTGGGCGACGGCCGTCGTGACCTGGGCAATGTCTCGCACCTGAGTGGTAAGGTTTTGGGCCATGGCGTTTACGTTTACTGTGAGCTCGTTCCACATGCCTTTGACTCCGGCAATTTCAGCCTGGCCGCCGAGCTTGCCCTCGGTGCCGACGTCTCTGGCGACTTTTGTGACCTCGGTGGCAAATGACTGTAGTTGGTCCACCATGGTATTGATCGTCTGCTGCAGTTGAAGGATCTCTCCTCGGGCCGGGCGCTCAATTTTGCGGCTCAGATCACCATGAGCGACAGCCGTGGTCACGACGGCGATCTCTCGCACTTGTTCGGTGAGATTATTGGCCATCATGTTTACTACACGATACGTTAGCACCGGCCCGATTGCCAAACACGAATCACAACGTACCACTGTCCGTCAGCTCAGCCCAAATGCCAGCAACTCCGGGTAAGTTTGCCTGACCGCCCAGTCTACCTTCGGTGCCTACCTCTCGGGCGAGGAAAGTGACTTGACTGGCGAATTCCTGCAGCTGGTCCACCATGGTATTGATTGTGCGTTTGAAAAGTGTGATTTCAGGGTCCATTTCTTTGGCATGGATAAGCACCTTTTTGCTGAGATCTCCCATGGCAACCGCCGTGACAATGGCACCGATTTCCCGGAGCGCTTTCTGGAAGGCCAAGTTCGCTACCAGACGTCAGCGGGGGGTGTGTCTTCTTTTTTCTTTTTTTTTCTTTCTTCTTCTTCTAGACTACAAGTCTGGCGTGCAAACGTACCTTGCTGGTGCTTGCCGAGCTCTCGTTTCAGTGCGCCAATGTCCTCGATGCCGTGTTCGAATACCATACTCTGTGTCGTCAGTTGCTTGTTTACTTCGCGGCTTAGGTTGTCTACGCAGTGTCAGTGGAAGCCCCCCTGTCGCAAGCATTCTACGCAAGCATATATCAAATGTATGCGTGTGTATATGTGCATGTGTTGTTTCGTACCAATGTGTTCGCGCTGGTTCCTGATCTGGTCGGCCTGTTGGTTCAGGTGGACGCGGAGATAGTTGAGCTGCTCTTCGGTGAGCGCGGCAGCAGGCTCTTCATCGCCACCATTCGTCTCTTTTGCAGCGAGCCAGTTGGAGACCCAGATGGCGCGCTCCTTGTTGGAACCGCGGCGGGCCTGGCCTGGGGGGCCGTTGCTGTTGCGGATGGCACCCGCCTGTGTGTAGAGCACGCCGTCCTCGGGCGGCTCCTGTGCGGGGGTCAAGGGGAACTGGCCCGACTTTGCGGCGGCGGCGTTGCACTTGTGCTCGAGGAAGTCTATGCGGGAGCAGAGGGCGGCCAGCTCGTGCTCGAGTTGTGTCTTTTCGTCGCTCTCGGGGCCGGGCAGGGCGATGGCGTTGGCGGCGGTTTTGGCGCCGTTGGCCGAGACCTGGGCGCTGAAGCTGGCATCTCGCGCGGGGTCGTGTTGGCGGGCGAGGTTGCGGATGATGGCCGCGACGCCCGAGTACGTCTCTGCGGCCATGGTGGTGGTGGTGGTGGCGGCGGCAGCGGCAGCGGCGGCGAGTCGGGTGGTTGCGAGGGGGTAGGGAGGGCTCTGGGGGCTGCTATGTGCGCATTGGGAACAGGCAGGGCGAGCAGGACGGCGGGCGAGGGGGCGAGAGGGGATGGACGGATGTCCAGACGGGCAGCTTGACGGAGAGAGAGTGAGAGGGCGAGATGAGGTTCGGGGTGGGTATGGAGGAAGTGGAAGCGCGAGCAGGGAGGCCCCGCCGAGACAGCAGGCGGGCGCGCAAAGAGGATAAGCGTCTTGTGAGTGGCCTCGAGCCGATACGATGGCGGATGAAGAGCGCTAGCTAGTAGGCGTGTGTGGAGGAGCAGCCCACAACCCACAACCCACACGCACTTGGAGCAGCAGCAGCGGCGGCGGCAGCAGCAGCAGCAGCAGCAGCAGCAGCGGTATCAGGCGGGCACGCGTGCGAGGGGCTCGGGGCCAGGTGCATGAGGGTGCAGCAGACAGGGCGTTGTCGCCAGCCAGCAGCAGCAGAGGTGAATTCGCATCTGCCATGTAGCGGCTAAACGCTGGTGCGCTGCCTCACGCTGCGATCGGCCTGGCAATTGCCGTGTTTGACTCGGCGCAGACGACAGGCCTGCTGCCATTCCGCCTGTCAGTTGGCTGCTGCCCCCACCCGCATCCATGGCGCCGCCCGACGACGCTGCACCAGCACTGACGACGGCGCAGTACCCAGCGAGTCGCACACACACGCTGCACTGCTGCCAGCCTGGCTGCCGCGCCCGCCGCCGGCCAACTGAGTAGCAGGTAGTGTGCAGTATACGGCGACATGCGACACCGACACCTGCTCTACACGTACACTACAAGACCACGACTGCTGCGGCTCCGACGCTGCCTCCCCGTCCGCCAAGCCGAGCGCCTCGGGAAGGCAAGCGAGATATTACAAAAAACAAAATAACCCACGACCCTTTCAAACCTTACGCCCCCCAAGCCATGACAAGCAGCCCTCGTCCCGGCCACCGTCGCCGTCGCCGTCGCCGTGACGGTGACCGTCTTCTCCCGCGCGACGTCATACCCGCGTCGGCCGCCACGTTTTCCCTTGTCCAGGGCGCGCGACCAAGCAACCAACAGCGCGAGAGGGCCGTGGTAGCGAGCACAAGCGAACGCGACATGGAGAGATACGAGCGATAAAGAGAGAGAGACGCACACACGGCAAGGGAAGAAAATAACCTTGGAACGAAAACGGTGCAACCACAACCCTGCAAGCAAATTAGTGCGCGTGGTACAAGCCACAGCCCGCGACACGACAGGGCATGCGCATCACTTTTCTGTGCTCGTCGTCGGCGTCGTCCTGCTGTTTCTCCGCCCGTCGCGTATGATTACCGACACTGACTTGACTGCATGGCTCTCGTCCATCTGAAGGGGGGGGGGAACCCTTGGCCCAAGAGCGTGACCGCCTCGGAGAGCACGTCTCCCCTCTGTCCTAGGAGTGACCCTACTCATGCTCATACGACGACGAAGACGCCGGCGCCCATGGCAGTGCGGCCGAGGGCGCGTCGTGGTGCTGTGGCAAATTAACCCCCTATTGCCCTGTCTGGCTCGAGGCTGAGGACGACGCCCGCCCGTCCGCCCCGTCCGCCCCGTCCGCCATGGCCATGGCAGCCAGAATGCGTCCAACGTCTGCGGTCAACACGCACACGCACACGCACACGCACAAGCCTACTACTTTTCTTTTCTTTTCTTTCCCTCTCGCTCGCTCGCATGCGCCGCCAAGGCAACGGTGCGCGCGCACCTTTGGCGCACATGCACATGCGCTTCTCCTGTTTGATCGCCGCTTTTCCATGCTCTCACTCTTCACCTGGTCGTGCTGAGGCTGAGGCTGTCGTGGGGTTCAATTTGCCCGTTGTTTCACGTGTTGCCCATCCTACTTTACTCCGCCCACTGACCGCATCTAGCATACGCACAGCACAGCACATGCATACAAGGCGGCATCTGTCCGCCTCATTCCCTCCCCCCCCCTCTTTCGACTCTCCCTCGCCATCCACCTCACGCGTCCCTATCACGGTGCTGACGGCCACGGGGCAGACGGACCAAGGCGCCCTCGAGTGGGGTACGCTTGCACGCAAAACTGCCGCGCATGGTTGGTCATAGTGGTGCTACCTGCTAACCCAGCCATCCAGGGTCCTCCCGGGAGCCGAGCGCTCGCACTCGCATGTCCTAGAGTCGTCGTTTAGTCGAGCATAGCCCTGCCTAAGCCCATTTCCCTGCTGTCCGCCACCCTCCGTCCACCGCATTCTCTTTACTACACTACACCCCTACCACCTACCACTGGCCACATGCGCAAACGCCCTGTTTTTTTTTTCTTCTCTTCTTCTGGCGTGTCGCCTTCGTACTGGACCTTGCGCTCACCGTATCATCCCGCTATCCGACATGCTAGCTTGTGAGCATCCCGCCTGTGCTAGTCTGTGTATGTGCACCTTGGACGCTTTCTCTTCACAAGTCCCAGTCCAGTCCAATCCGTTTGTCCGAGTAGCTGCGCGTGACAAACACTTACTTACTCCTCCATACATACGTCCTCTGCTCCATCTGCCCACACCAGCACCGTTGAATCTACACCTGCATGTCCATGTATGTAAATGCAAGTCTACACCTACATATGTGTATGAGTATGTAGACCCCTCGCAGATCCCAAACAGATCATCAGGGTCCTCTTGCAGTCCACCCACACCCACACCTGTGCTTGTGCCTGTGCCTGTGCCCTACATAGACTATATCCTCTAGCTTGCACGCCAAAAGCAAAAGAAACAAAGAAGCCGCCACACCAAACCAAGCCCGGAAAACACTAAAGTCCCGAGGTGGTGGTGGTGGTGGTGGTGACCGGACGGCGGGTGGGAAAAGCCAAGTGTGGGTGCATGTGGGAGAGAGGGAAATGCCAAGTGTGGATGCATGTGTGGGTGGGGAATTAGTAAGTATAGATGCATGTGGGCGCAGGTGGGAAATACTATAGAGTGTGTGGGTGGGTGGGTGAGTGATGGTGGTAAGAGTAGCTTGCTGCTGCTCAGAGAGCCAGTATATACTTACAGTAGTAGAGCGCCCCATGCCACACCCGAATGCGGGGTAGAGTCACGCGCACGCGAGCGAACACGACTACGAACATGACCGAGCCCCCCCCCCCAA